TAGGATTTTACGGCATAATATCCTAGCACACACTGCTAAATATTAATTCCAAGTTAGCTTGCTTTCTAATGGCTTGAGTATGGACAAGCTCTAAGCTAGTTAGTCGTCCTTCTAGTTTCAGACACCGTATGTGCAATGGAAGCAGCAATACAGGACACATCCTTTGTCGTGCTAGATCCCTACGAATTGGTCATATCGAGCCACCTTTTCCACACCACTGTCTGTGTGGGAAATATAGCTAAAAATCAGCTAAGGAAAGAGCCTTCAAACATAGCGCATGCGTGAGTGTTCAGGATAGCTTCTTTAAGACGAAATGTCGGGCACATTGAAGTAGCGGAACTTGGAGCGAGATGCAAATTATCTAAAACTTTTCTGTTCAAATGTATTTAATTATCCTGTAAATACAGCTTAGTAGTGGTTTAATAGTTGACGTAGAGGACGACAGGAATGATTGCCATAGGCTCGCGTTCAGTTGAACGTCCAAAGGTATACGTTTTACAGGAAAGCATACGATTTGAACTAGAACTAAAGATTGTTTTTAATATTGAATAAGATAATCATTAGGGAAATTAAAAAATTGTCCCTTTATATTTGGTAAAACATTAGTTGATTCTCTAAAGTGTTCCAATCTTAAGATCGGAAAGATAATCATAACTGAGCGTATTCTTCTCCTAGCCAGTGGCTTCGAGCATTCAGGGGACGTTGTTTCCAGAAAATTTTACAGGACAATATACCGATCTTCGTATTTTCGTCTAAAACCGTTCTGCCCGAAGACAAAATATTCGTTATCTTATCGTGACGTTATTATAAATAAGCGCAGACTATATTTTTAGTATATGAAATGCGCTACGTAAACTGTTAAGCATTATTCATGACAGTTGATTCCAATCACAAACTAAAGTCTCTACATCCAAATTCGAACTTAGAGTGGCAGGTGTCTTCAAATTCGCTAGCCAAACACATTATCCCCCGCGGCGCCATCGACACGAGGAAATGCGAGTAAAGGCTAAACGATGAAGAGTACCATTGATTTTGTTGTAATAGAGCCACAACTTAGGTAACCTTTGAGCCTAAAGACTAAACTTCAATTGCTTCAACTGTTTAAAATTTTACGACTAAATTTAGATATACCGGGGTCTGTCGGAGAAATCTGAGGCATCATAAGGTTCAAAATAGTACAACTATCTGTGGCCTTTGTTATCCGTCGTGTTGTTTACTCATGTCAAGTAAAACGTTCGTTCGTGCGCCAGGTTTCCAACTGCCTGGTACATACACGGGTAACATGACCGATTTGGTTCCGTTGGTAACAAAGCAAGTTTTCACTACCATTGACTACCACTTCACAAAATGATTCAGATTCACCCCGTTGAAAAATGGCCGCATAATCACTTCATCTCATTTTGATTAGGTCGTGTATATATGTTTATCAAGCGCCATACATCCCCAACAAATTCTCCTGTTTCTTCTTTTCGAAACGTTGTCTGCCCTCTCGGAGGCCCTTCTAAGTATTACCTTTATTATTTCGATCTCATCCGCTTTTACCCCGCGACGAACACCAATAGTCTTTCCTATTTCGCAGGGTACCGAGTTACTGCGGTTTGCTCCAAGCGACCTTCTATATTTATTTTTGTAATACATACACAGTTAACGTGTTCGCTTTGATTGTACATTGTTATTATTATCATCATAGGCCCATATACACGCACAAGCAGAACCTGGCATGTATAGTATGCGCTCAATGTTGCTAATAAACGTGCAGGATAATTTTCTTCCACATATGGTTCGTATCGTACAGAAGTCTCGGACATTATCTAACACCATCCCGTTACTTTTTCGAATGGAACCTAAACATGGGTGTGTATGTTTGTTTTGAATTTGCGTTCTAAACCCAGATCGTTGCAGGGGTTCCACCAGCTCGATTCCACCACCTAATTCCCCGTTGAAGTGATTCGTGTTATCTTGTTGTATCATTGTCGTTGTAATCGTTCCATCGCCTTATTTTAGCAAACCCGCTAAATTTGTTAAGTCATTCAGTCATTTTTCCGCGTTATCCCATGAGCCTGTTTCAGCGGTTCGATAATATTGGTTCACTCAGTGCACTACGGTGCTTTTGTTATTCCGAACTTTCTCTGTGGCGTTCTAATCATCGTGTAGCAGGTGCTCGATTCGCGTGCTCCTACTGCAATCAGACCACCATTGTGCTACACTAACTGCGTTAAATCGTTACGGTTACTCATTTATCTCAAGATGAAACTCTTTAGCTTATTTAGAAAATATTGTCGTGCTTCAAAAACTAAGACCGAAAGCAATATGGAAGCAGTATTGTGTCAAAAGATCCTCTATCGTTCTTTGCATTTCGCCTGCTCGACGGAGATCAAGAAAAATGTGTTTTTTTTTCCAAATATCCGCTTTTGTGCTTCCTGTTTAAAGTACACATACACTTCTACAGTAATTAACAGAAGTTAGAAAATCGCCTTAAAAAAAATCGTTTTTCACTACGTTAGACGGTATAGACGCTCTCTTATTTTTGTATCATAGAAAAAACCTTCCCAAAGATCTCTTTAGCCTACACATAAGAAACCACACAAACAGTTGTCGACATCGTCGACTCTTGCTCCTTTAGAAGTTACAGATTGCGTTATAGATGCGGTAATATATAATGTATAAGACACATTACGGGAATATCTATATGCTCGATATTCCTTATGAGCATAACAAGTCCATCCATATTCCCTGTTAGATTCGTCGAACGGCGTTCGGGAAATACTTACCGATTCTACGGTTTAAAAGGTCCTGTCGCGACAAAACTCTGCAAGAATGTCTTACTCTTACTTGTTTTGGAAGCAACATCGCAGTCTGACGTCTCTGCAATAGCACAAACCCACATTACCAAAATTTACTGAAACTAATATTACCCCTCTGAAACAGCAGGTACCGTTTCATTAAGTACTTTGTAGAATAGGTAAAATAAAAGTCAATACCTCGGTACTAATTATTCTTGTTTAACCGCTGCTGTTCGAATAAGCTACATGGGAAACCATGCAACCCACGTTTCCAGTTACACAGCACTCGTTTTTCACAAACTTACGACCTGTTACGTTAATTATCTCTTGACACAGCCATAAAGCGTGGACAAATCTAGCTGAAGACATCCTCAGACCTATTCTTCCTCGTAAACTCCCATCTAAATCTAGAAACCATTAATAGCGTTTAATCCCGCGAGACCTTTGATGATTGATTGATTGATTTGATTTGGTTTAAATACTTCTAGGTATTGTCAACTAATATAACGCAGTTCGGTGTCTAGCAGATTTGCTCTACACCCGCTTACGATGACTAACCGAAATCATTAGTCAATAATTGTCGCTAACTTAAATTTGTTTCATGCGAGTTACGGTCTATGTATGTCTTGATGTCTATGGTGGGCGAAAATGACTCATTAATAATTTCTCTTTCTTTCGCGTGCTTTAGGCTGGTGTCGGGACTCACCTGCGCTTTAATGCAGCTACGCAGAGTCTAAAATAGGAATACTCTCATACTAGCCATAATTATATCGCACAGATCGTTTAATGTACATCGCATCGACCCGAGTTATGGTTCTGTTATAACCTCAGTCTTATCCACGTTTAGTTCTATCTAATTCTCTATGAATTTGGCTAACAGATACAGCACAAAGTGATTTACCTCTTTTCCTTATACCATAGATCGGTTGAGTGTACGATACATATACTCGGCATTGATAAATAACGCTTTCTAATCTTGCATAACTCACTTCCTGTGTATTGAATAATCTCGGATCTGGCAGGTTATTCAGGAAAATGCCTACGGCATAACTCGCCTCACTTCAGCGCGCCGCTGAAGCCCGCGAAAGCCAGGCTAACATTGCTAAATGTCATGTTTGTTTTCAAGAGTTTTTTGGTTATCCAGCCTGCGGGCATTACTCGACTTATCTGGATTTTTTTCCAACAGACCTATGAAACGATATAATAACGATATACCATTTTTCAACATCCCACATTCATGGTGACTACGATATGTTCAAAGAGCGTATTTACAACCTACGACTAAGTTCTTGCAACTCAAACGAAGCAGTTAACGGATCCTTGAAGATCAATCTACGGTTAATCTACGAGCATTATAAGCTAGTAGAAATAGCGAAATTTGTCATCGTCAGTTCTTTGCATGATTACGCATTTTAGCGGGATTGGCCTTTAGAACTGAATGTGCAAGTATACCTTTAACGCCGTTTTTGATGCGCAAAGTATAAATACTATTGAGGCCCCTAGTGTCTCTCTAACTTTCCTCTCTGGAAGTAGACGCATTAAGACTAGTGTAAGTTAAGATGGAAGATTAAGTCTATTTGAACTTGGTAGGAAGCCAGCGGAGGAAATAATAAATATGAGCAGAAAGTTGTTTATTTATTCTTATATAAAAAAAAAAAGATAAAAAAGAATTTATTAGCAAAATTATTTCATATGTAAAATGTCTCTCTTAACTACTTTTATTCTTTTTTTTGTAGCCTTGAATGTATGAATGTAAAAAATGAAGCTTTGAAAGTGCTAAAATTAAAATTTTAAAATAATTTTTATTATCATAATACTACTACTAACATAATTTACTATTATAATAATACTACTAATATAATAGTAAATTATGTTAGTAGTAGTATTACGATAGTAAAAATTAAAATTTTAATTTATTTAATGTTCTGCAATTCTGTTTGTAGCTAATCGTACGGCCAAAGTTATAGGACGTATGAAGTTTCTAATAGTTTGAATTAAAACTATAAAAGAAGCTGAAAAAATTGGTGTTCCTGGTGGCATCGAATGTCTTCACATTTGATAATCAAAAAAATTAACCTACTCAAATAATATTATTGATAATCGCCGTTCAAGTGCCGCAATTATGTAGTGATATGGTTGCTCCACTTTATCGGCTACCATTCATACATGCTCATACATACATGCTGACAGAAAAGCCATATCCCACTCTGATTTTAATGCATGATCTGCATATCACAGTTTTATTTGAGCTGCCTTCGTGTTAAAGATACTGAATCTCTTCTTTAACATATTATTCTTAAGTGTGTAATATCAGCGCAGTAATCTCATGTGCGCAGATGCATTGACAAACGAGAAAATTTGCCCCGCTTGTATAACATAAGGTTTTATAATTACTCAATATTACAGAACTACATTCGTGGTCGCAGAAGCTTCGGTGCAGCTTTTCCGTTCATAGTGCGCAAACTGCCAATACGATTGAAAATCAACAATCCTGATGCACGCTCGATAGTATCCAAGGGAACCTGCAAACGAACACACGCATAACAGAAATAAAAAACATAAGCCTAGGTTTTCCAGCCAGGTCAACAAATGATAAATTAACACGTGCAGTGTTCAAGAGACTTAGTAGACGAGGATACATTTCTCAGTCGACGCTGTCAAAACCATGGCGCGGTACTGCCTAAAAAAAGTAAAACTAAAAATACGATTATATTTTCTGTCTTCATATTATTGTTGTTCTCAATTTTTCCCTATGTTCAGTGTTACCATGAATGCTTCTAGAGGAGTTGTGTCATCGATAACTTCGTTGGGCATGACATACGCCTCCATATCCATTTCTCCATTATCGGTTTCGCCTACAACAACCTGCAACAAAATAGTTAACGCATTTTAGCCAACAATAATTATCAAATATATACATACATATATAAAGATGGATTCTCATAGCCAGTAAAAGCCGACGAATCATTAAGGTGCCAACTAACTCTATGATACAAGTATATAAGAGTGAACATTCAACACAAATATTCATCTGCCGAATGGGACTTATATATAATCAGGTAGTACCTTGAAAAAATGAGTGGGCACAGCAACATGGTTGGCTCCAATAACCTGATAGTGAACGTAGAGCTTCCCATCAGCCTCACAACTGTCCATCGCACGATACAATGAATGATGCATTAATATAAATGAAAGAAAAACTTCAGCAGAGCTAGTTTAGTCAAGTAGGGCTGAGACGAAGCCTTTTTTGTTATTTAAAAAAAAAAAAAGAAAAAAAAAAGCAGATTTTTTTGTGTAAAAAGTTTTGTGGATGTTCGATATCTTTGAACAAAGTGAACGAATTTCCATACTTACTATTGAAATAGTGGTGACAAATATTACTGGAGATATTCAATTAGCTTATTCGTAAAGATTTAGCAATATAATGAAACTAAAGCAAAATAGATGTTTGCAATGCAGTGACTATTTGTTCTTTCTAATGATCATACCGGGGTAAATATAACGGGCCTGTGCACACGTAAACGCTTGTATATTTTCTGGTTAACTGTCTCACATGGCTTTCTAACCGCTCCCACGAATCGCGATTAAAACCTTTCCCAACCTGCGAAACGATAGAGGAAATTGTTATTTACGAATACACCCACCAACAACACATCAATTACATCTCGTCCTACACGAATATCAGGCGAATCGAACATTCTATGAATTAAGGTACCAGCAAAATTCACCAATCGGATAAAAGATATCTACGTAACGCCTTTTGCTGCAAAGAGTACCAAATATAATGTCTGAGTTTCACACTTGATCACTATGGCAGCTTCCTAACTTCTGGCCCACACAACGAAAAAACAAAACCACCCAGAAACGTTAAATTACCGGATCACTTCAGTCGAATCAACGTGAAATTATTTTGCACAAATCAAGCTAAGTAGTTTACCAGATTACCTTGAGTGAAAATTGCATGCCTAAATCTTCGCCTTTCCTCTATGGGCTTACTTGAGGGGCCATGTTACTGTAGAAGAAAGTGTCATTCATATCTTTCTGAGTGCGACGATGGTTTCCCGCTGCTGCAAGGTGGCCCCGATCAAAGCCAGATCGCGCGTAATCAGCAACACCCGAGCGAAAATACGGGTGAATCTGTGAAAAAAAATTCATGTATGAGAAAATAATCATAATAAAAGCCATGCTACAAATAGCCGTTGTGCCTACCTTCAAACAACGTTTGAGCTTGGTTATTATCCCCTTAGTTATTAGAAAAAGTTATTTCCATACATCTTTTTGCAGTAATTTTCAAATATTAAGAACGAAAGGTTAAACCTGGCCAGCTCCACAGCTACCTGCTGGTATTGTAACAAGAGGTAACCGTGGAGTTCGGGCAGCTATTAAGGAAGATACCTGAAACGTGTCTTTATCATTTACACGAAGGGGCATCGAATTAAAGCAGAAAGCATACATGCCCGCGATGCGAGTTTTACTAAACCCGAAAATGTTTAATATCAAAATCGGCTGTTAATAGGTTTTATGGGACTTTATATGCGCACAACAAAACCGGTCAAACACTCTGTACATCTCACGCAATTTTTGTGTTAAAAGACAGTCATGGGTCATCGAAGATTACAACTATATAAGTACGATAGGTCTTCTACGCTAATACACGTTATGTTATATATTAAATAGGCCGACAAAAAATTGTTTTCTATGAACACCATATATCGCTCAACGGCGGCGAAGTTACTATGGCTTCCACTAATCCGAGAGCCGGCAACATTGAGAGTCTGAACAGAAAAATTCGTGACAAGATTGTATAGCGTAAAAAACACCAAAGTGTGCTTCAACAAGACCAGAGAGCGAAGAAGATTTGGGAGAATGAAGGCTTTAATTGGGTTAAATGCGTACAGCCTGGTCTTCGTGGAATTCGCATTTCGTACGAGAGACCTCTTCGATGCTTCTTAGGTTCTCCTTTGTGAGATGCTCCATCACCCAGTTAGCCGTACGATTACGTTTGTCATATGACAGAACGTAGTCAGACAGGTATCGAATATTATCCGTTCCCGGAAAACCCAATCGCATAACTTCTCTGCAAAAAATACAAATTCATTGAAATCATAATCAAATAAATCATTCAAAACATCGGGTGCGATTTGATGAATAATAGCTTTATATTATGGGTATGTCTATACAGATCGTGTAAGTATGAATTGCGTGATCCATGAATTGCTTTGCAGACGCAGAATAAGAAATTAGCAAGATAAGATATAACGGAATTGATTGCAAAGTTTCCTTTATCCTATACATGTTCGGCATTTTATAATGACTACATACGTTATTCTCTGCGTAGTCTCTAACTGAGGACTGTACGTTTGTGGCAAAGGGTCTGCCGCTTTCACGCGTACCAGCAGGCCATTATTTTGCCGGAGAACTTCCGTAGCTGCTGCGCCAATTGCTGCCCCAGCTAGGCCAGCCATCATAGGTACTCGCAACCGTTTCAACATACCGTCTACGCACATGGGGGGATATTAATTGATTATATATATATATTGAGCTAAAATCAATAACATTTACAATAGGTCAATTACTCAAATTAGATTAAAACTAATCGCCGAAATAATTTTGCTAAAGCGAAGCTACCCTTAATTAACACAATGTTCTTTTTGTTTTTTTTTTTAATTTTTCATTTGAAAGCTTTATTGATCTTTTTTTGTCACTTAAAATTAAATCTATCTCTGCCACAGGACGAAAGATCAAATATAATGTAATATAATCATGCTTACACAAGTTTGACGAGCTTAACTTCACAAGACGCTTCCGAAATTATCGGATCGCCTATAAAAGAACGCCTTCCTGTGGCACTGCAAAAAAATACGATGTCCGTTTAAAAGTGAAAAAAAGCAACCAAATGATGCTCTCTAGGTGCATCAACTGGTCATTTTAGATAATAGCTTTATGTTCGATAGACATAGTTACATTCGTTCGTGCTTCGATTATCACACATCCTTCGAATGAGGCTAGCTAGATTAGCTTACGTCGAAATTTTTTTTACACACACTGATTATAACTTAATTGTGCACTGCAGTTTGCATTTACTCGAATTCAAATTTTTTTCTTACATAACAGACTCTTTCTCCCAACGACCTAGCCTAGCAAATTAAAATCAGCAAGATTTTCGCTCATATTTAGACTTCTAAGAGCCGAAAGAGCAGATCGCACCCTGTTTTTCCCTCTCCTTTATCTAGTCAGCACTCTGTAGGCAGATGTTTTAGAAACCTGGCTTTCTCTTGTTTAACTGTTTGTTCTATAAAAACAAAGCTCGTAAACATTGGTGCTAGCCAGTCTATTATGCAATGATTATTTCAATGATTGCCTTTGAGCTACACGCAAAATAGCTTTGTACATATTCTATTAGAGTGACGTTCGACCCTTGGATTGCGTCGGGCATCTAGGCCACAGCTATCGACAATATTATGTAGCTACGACGAATAGTGAATGAAGCATTGCCAGCGCTGTTAAACGCTCAACAGTCAGGTTTCCGGCGAACGGCCGGATTATCCCATGAAAATCGCACATAGATACGCATACACACACCATAGACATATAGACGACAGCCGCAATGTGACAATATCTACAGATTCTCCGTGAAACCTGTTATGAGCTTGGCTTGTACAATCCAACTAGGAGAACCTGTTCCGGCCGCGAAGTTAAGTGTAAGTTTTTAGGTTGTCGTTATCTGCCTTCGTTGAGAACAGGTTGTTATGTCGTCTTAGGAACTAACTGAAAAAAATGAGCAGTAGTGATATTCCTAATGGATACAGTGCACTGTGACTAGTTAGTGAGTAATCGTCAGGTAATTGTGCCGTACCCTAATCTTGACTACTACACACTCTAGTTTAATATTGTTATGAGCTAGCTTTGGCTTCACGCTGAAGTAATGTCTAACGTACCAGACGTAACACATTTTAGGCTACATATTTCGGTACCGTGCCGGTCTCCAGCGCACTACTTTTTCTTCCCTACAACATGTATACCTCGATCAGGTGTGCCAAACCGCCAATTGCAGATAGTGATAAACCAACGGCATGACGTTTCCATCTATCCAAAAATATCCAGATGAAACTTGTGACGGTAGCAAACGCAGTTTGGGCGTGCAGCGCTAATTGCTCCAATCTCCACCTGGATTAGTCAACAGACTGTAAGAGCGCATTGTATTTTTGAGTCAATGACAAGTTCAAGCAGCCGCGTGTGACACGAGAACGAAGAGAGGAGACAGACTAAGATGTATCTATCTATACACGTACTAAAGCTCCAATGTTTTAAGCTTGTGTAAATATTTGCTCGCAATACTACCCCGTCAGTTGTGCAAAGCAGTGGATTTTATTAATAAACAGCAATGTAGAAAAGTTAGATTAGGCAGATGACGTCTCAATTATTGATTGCTAATAGAGGCCGACACCAAGCGAAATGAAGGTCGATAGATAATATAGTTTCGACAGCGGCCTAATGTAAAAGCAATTTCCTGGTCAGTACTGTGAACAACTATAATTTGTTTTAATATATATATATATATATATATATATATACGTTTAACTATAATAACGTTTCGTGGAGTCCTTCCTCAAATTAGTTCCCTTGGTAAATAGTTAAGAAAAAAGTGGAATCTTGATATACGGATGTGCTTAATTAAATCAGAGTATGATTTACAGCTCATCTGGTTTTATACTACTATCGGAGGCAATAAATCCCTGGTTCTTTTCAAATGTTATCATATGGATCGATATAGGAACCGTCAATGGAACGTCGAGTACGATTAGAAGTAACATGATCAGATACCTTGGTATTAGTAATCGTACGAGCTAATTGCTTCGAATGTTATTTACCTATTCAGAGCGGGGTAGTACTATTTCGGGCAGTGATAGTCCCGTATGTACATATTTAAGGCAGCCAACGCTGTGCCCGTGTTAATTGGTGAATGAGTCATCCGATTGTTGTCGCAATGTTTTTTTTAGATATATATGTATTTACTTTTGCTTAAGGCAATCTTTCATGAAACAGTTTTCGTTACCTGAGTATTGCGAAGTTATATGGTACACGAAATTTACCAAAGAATGAGTGTATGTGAGGCTCATCTTCGCCACTGCCAGTAGCAATATAGACTATTTTTGTGTCTGCCAGACCTGTTTATCCATGGCTTACAAGGCGTTTGATGAAGCACGTGTTGACGTCAGTACCTTTTGCCTACTACGTGGCAACTACTCACCTATAGGACAGGTAAAAATAATAATCGAAACAATTTACAATGCTTCTACCCTATTATAGTGTGAGTTCTCAATCGAAGCGACAGTATCCGTAAATACGTTAGGTGGATCATTTGAGGCCGTGCATCCCCAAGAAGCTATTTGCTTCTACATAAACACAAAGATTACCGATTCCCAGATTCGAATTTAGAGTGGAATCGTTTGGGTATGTGGGTTTTCAGTACGCATCTCTAATGATTGTAATACTACTAATGAGTCCGTATTATTCTCCTTAGCCGTATTATCCTCCCATAGCCTTTCACGTACATATATCGTGAATAGCCATTATCTAGGTAGTTTATGAACAACTCTAATCCACAAGATTCACCATACTGAGCTGCATTCATTACAATCAACATGTTCCTTCGTTTTCGAAAAGTAATATAGGTTTAGTTGTTTAGTATCTATATAAAACGAGTAGCTATTTCGGCCAACAGTAGAGCAACTCGAACGTGCTTTATCTCATTACACATGTACTAGAGCGACGCAGGATTGTGTGCTAGCGACCGTTGGCTTTTTCAGCCAGAGACAATTTTTTTTTGGATTTTCTCCGACAGAACTGTCGTTAGCTATCAATACGTAATCACTTCAGGAACCTTTTGACGTGCTAAGACTGTTGAAGACAACGTTCTTATTCTATGCCTCGCCGTTAATAAACCAATTGGTAAAGATGGGTCGCGTAATCTGCTTGATGAAATTCGTATAATGTGAAAAAAAAAACAGCATTATTATTTTATCGTAGGCGCACTGTAAGAGACAAACAGCAGACTGATTATTTATTTTTCTTGCAAGAATAATGAGGTGGAGTCGGTGAATTTCAATGCTCAGTCTTAGATTTTTCAGACAAAAGTAAAATTCACCGTCGCTACGTATAATGAGCTTAATTGTTCAAGGTTTATTGATAGTGTCTATCTGTTACAGCACTGACCGGTTAGGCCCGCAATTTGGAGTGATGAACATGTCGGACCAGGACGTGGCAGGCAGCTCCAAGCAGGCCATTCCTGTAGGTGCCCTTTATATTTGCCGGCAGTTTCTGCTGATGATTACGAAATTTGGCACGGTTTTAATGAAGTTTGCAATAAGCCGAGTAGCTTTTTAAAATTAGCAAAGGATTTTAATTGCATTTTCTATCTAGGTACTTAAAAGTAAGAATTGGTGAATAAAAATAATACAACTTATATTCATGTGTACATAATAATAAATAACTTAATAATATTTGTTTTTTCAGTTAGAGGAGCAGGACTATGATGGATTGTTGCAATATTGCAAACGTCAATTTCTGCTGCTCCAGAAGACAAAGGCCAAATTTGATGGTAAGTTTCGCATTATCACGGAATATTGTAGTAACGATCAACTATTATATTACTATAGGTACATTTTGTCTTAGACAAACATTGTTTGTTGCGTCAAAGTATTTTGAGCTATGCACTTCTCGAGCTTCTTATTAAAGCCTCAAAAGAGTAATATTGGAGAAAAACAAGAACCTTATTGAATTTGAGTGTCAAATTGGCTGCTATTTGTATAATAGACGGAATTTTACTGAGATTAATAATTGTATGATCTGTGTACTAATAAATAGCTTTGTTTGATTGAACTCTAGAAGAAGAGCGTAAATATATCTTTCGATGCTACCGTGTCTTTGCTTTATTTATCTACCAACACCGATGTACCTACAGAAACATTTTCAGTATCATACTCAATTGTGGGGCTATTGAAATGCTTATTTCCTATCATATAAAGGAAGTAGATATTTCCGTTAAGAGTGTTTCTGTCGATTGAAAATAACAACATTTCAGAGCAAAAAAAGGAGCGCGAGAACGCTGAATCCCAACTACGGGCACAGCTGGAAGAGATCTCTGAAGAGCGCGATAAACTTAGAACTAAACTCGAAGAGGACAGGAACCAGCAGGCTCAGCATATTGAGGTATCTCTACTACTCACCTATGTTTACCTATGTACGAAATACTAACGTAATTGAATGTTCCAAAGAGATTGCGTGGTACCCTAGAAATCATACCGTATGTAGCGGTAAGAAAATACAATTTTCACAACGAATATGGAAAGAAACAGTGTCCTTCAGGAAATTGTCTAGATACCTGTACAGATTCACGTTCATAAACGAGTTTTAGAAGCCAAACATTGAATTTATAGTTGTACTCGGCAATGGTTTGGCCATACCAAATATAACAGACGTCTACATCGCCCCATATCAAATCAATCTTATTATGGAAACACTTAATATGCTATGCAAGAAAGGGATGCTGTTCAAAAGAGTCAGAAAAGCAAATTCTTAGATGAATTGAAGGTCCCCAAAGAGCCCACTTAAAATTTGTTTCTTGGCATGTTTCAAAAATTGCTCGTTTCAGTAATATGCAAAATTTTTATGTCCAGCAGCTTAAAGTTTGATCGGTCAGTTAACGTCTTATACAAAATAAAGCTCGTTGTCCATCGTTTTTAGTTTTGTTAGTTAACTGCTGGATAAGATTTAGAAAAATATTGATAACAACGTACCAGTATCTACTTGTGGGGGGGGGGGGGGTGCTTATAGGAGCTGGAAGCTCGTAATGCCTCGTTGGAAAACGAACTCAAGCAAATCGGAGACACCAGCAGTTCAGGGAAGAAAGACCCGGTTGATGAGCTTAGTGAAGCAACGAATGAGCTCAATCTGCTTCGTGAAGAAAAGCGGGAACTGCTTGAGAAATTGGATTCTCTTGAGTCAGCCCGGGACGCTGCACTCGAACTCGAAAAACGAATGGCACAGGTACGACAGAGCAAGTCTAGTTTTAGGTGATCCACTTTAGACAGGATGTTTTGTCAATGTGAAGAAAATAGCATAGTGAATTATAAGCCCGTCAAGTATTTGTGCGTCGAAGTATACTAATAAGAATTTTGCAGGGCAATTTTTACATGCCACTTTTGCCGAAAACATTGTCTCTAACATATTGAATTTCGTAGAGCCGCATATAAAGTGACGCCATTTTTCAAAAGTTGACCAGTTGTTCTATCTAAGGCTATCTGCAGAAGCAACCATTGGACAGAGGCACTAAATAGCGAGGGTAAGTTACAACCGTTTCCACCGGAAGCGAACACGCAAGGTTCTCATCCACCTTAACTATTCTTGTGTAAATAATTGGACGACCCAACACTACCTTTAAGGAAATGACAACCATGTAGGTCGAAAGACTAACTCAGGCTAGTCTGGAGGGTTCAATTAACTTTTCCTGTTAAGCCTGAAATGTTTATCGTCGATAATCAGAATAGTCTTCGTCCGATTACCAACAATTCAATAGGTGTCGAAGTGAAAAAGCAAACGTCGAAAGCCTTAGAGTTGCATTTTATACCTGCTGTGACCTTTTTTCACTGCGTTAAAGTTCTAGCAGAAAAGCCCAGTAGCCCAAGGGAGCATTTGCGGTTTCCAGCAAACGTTTTCGGACATCTTTGTACGAATTTATTAGATTTGAAGTTAGAGATAATGTATTTGAAATTGTGGCGTGGCACAGTTTTGTTGGTGAAGGTAAATAGTATATTGTTTATTTTAATAACATTTTAAGTGTTCTAATATTTCAATTGGATTACTTTCTATCGCATGAATATGATGACAGTTTAACGTTTATGCAACAACAAACCAAAGGTAATCAAGCATTAAAATCGTGTCGTCATAAAATATAAAGTTCAAGATTAAAATCCAAGCTCGCAGTTAATTGGCCGAAATTCATCATCTATTTTCTTTAGAGTATATAAACCGGTACCTTGGCTTGCTAGCATCTTTCGAAATTGTCATTGCAATTTTGTTAATTATATCTTATCCTATTTTCACGACAGGGTTAAATGTAATTACACCAGGACGAAAAAATGATCATTACAGATACATATTCGTCACAATGGCTGTTATCATAGCCATTCCATATTTGTAATGAAGTACAACCAAGACATTATCTACAAAGATATATTATATATATATATATATATATAAGTAATAGAGCAATGTTTTATCTTTTTTGCCTGGTAGGCCCTTGACGACAATCGGTCCTTGCGAAGTCAATTGGATGAAGCGTTAGAAATGTTAAAGGCGTTACCTGCAAGCGACGGAACCTTTTCATCGGAAGGTGTCTCTGTTATAAAAGAAAATCATTCAGAGAGAAATGAGCTTACTTTGAAGGATGATGCTAAAAAGCTTCTCGAGGAAGTTGAGTTACCTGATAAACTCAAGGAGGTCAATGATAAGCTACTGCAGGCTGAAGAGCAACTAAAACAGGTTCGTTACTTTACTGCAAGTGACTCAAGCTTATGACTAATGAAAACATACATATTCAGCATAATATAGTATATACATGCTTAATAAATGGTCTCCATCTACATTTCAAAGCGGTTGATAAAATGGCAGTGCAAATCACGTTGTGGTCAAGGCAAAATAGTTTCTTTCATAAATGGTTCTAAACTTTGTTTCTTCATCCTTCAAACGCATAAACTATTTAACCTAAGGTCTTTGCAAGGCTTCTCGATGAAGTGAATTCGAGATTGCTGTTAAGGTGTTTTTTACTGTTGATAGATTACCTATGCTAAGAGTATTTAATATTTCATAAATTTCTTGTCTGTTCGAATGAGTTCCATGTATCATGGGTTGGGACTTCGATGTGAACGCTGTGGGTGGAAAAAGAAGGGTAGAGTGGAGACCGCCTTTTCTCATGAAAAAAATGAAAAATCTATTAAAAATAATTAAAATTCTCGCGTCCAAACCAGCATTTATCTTTTGTGACCTTTTTCAGATGGAAGATGAGAAAATGGAGTGGCAAGCTCGAGAAACAGCCACTAGGTGTCGTGTGGAAGAATTGGAGAGCAATGTTCAGGTGTTGACCGCTGACCTAGATAATGATAGGCAGCACATTTGTACCCTGACAGAAGCTCTTGAGACAGCCGAGCGTGCAGAAACTAATGCCAAAAACAGGTGAATACTGGGCTACTTCAAAAGACGAATATTGGAGTTAGATCTGTTTCTTTTTTTTATTATTACTTGTTTTTAGTACTGTGGATTGAGGAATTAGCCGATCTCGCCAGCCCATTTTCCGTATTAGTTAGCCGCAATCCAAAGAGGCGCTTTGTGTGTTTAATACGTTCCTCGCCAAAGCGTCTCCCTTACTTCACCTGCCGTGCGACGGGGTGGCAATTCCTTCGTACCATTGTAAAGAAAGAGCGTGACTTTCTATGTCGCGTATCTATCCTTAATAAAAGTAAACGCTCTGCATTCTCGTGGCGTGTGATGAGCTGTGTCCTCGAGACCCGCTGTACACGGCTATATGAAGAGACCTTGCCAACGGTGTCATCTGGATCTCAGTGTTAAAAAATTTCTTCACAGCCGCACAGGATACAAAGAGTCCAAGTATCGTGTTCCATTCTTTCTGCCACATAACCATGATTGTACCACCCGCGCATCCGCTGTCGGGTCAACCCACAAGATATACAAGAAATACACTAGGCTACCATTCATTGTTATTATGCGTACGACGTTTTTATTAGGTCCTTTTAAGAAACCTGCGTATACGTGTGCGTTTATCGAGGGTCTGGGATTCATTCATTTAAGTAAATGCATTCAGTTAGCTAATTACTAATTTACTTTCCCTGTTACTACTCTGTCTTCATTCTCTAGCCTGCAGCGCTTACAGAGTCGGGTGGACGAACTGATCTCGTCTTTGGCAATTTCATGCGGAATCATCTTTTCAACTTCAGACCAGCAGATCGAACGATTCTCCCGGCTTTGTCTCGACACCCTCCTGGCTCTCGTCGAGCTTAGCCCTCCAACACCTCTTTTGTTCGATGAGCTCTCCACTGGCCTTAAGGCCATCAGCGATGACTTCGTTCGGTGTGATCAACGCAAGGTCGAAGCACAGGAAAGTCTGCGTGAAGCAATTGTTAAACTCAATGATGCGCTTGACGAAGCCGATACACTCAGAGCAGAGGTGAAACAGCTAATACGACTCAAAGAATCTACAACATTTATAAAGTTTTACTATTGCATATTTAAATTCAGGGTCGATTCGATTCTGCTGTCATCCTGTTTATGTAAATACGCGTAGGTCACAACTCAGCATGCAGTTGGCATCTATATTCTCAAAAACATATTTCGAATCATGTGTTCACATATATACCTGATGTTTTTACATATTGTGCTATATTCTGTACAAGGAGATGCTGTGCTGTCTAAAGAGATCCCCGTTTGGCTATACGGCCTATTACAGGTTGACAGTGTTCGATGTGCACTTGAAGCCGAAAAGAAGCTCAGGGAAGAGGTAGAACGACGTTCTCTTGAAGCTGCGGATGAATGTGATATTCTCCGATCGACAACCACGGCACTTACGAACCAACTGGAAGAAGCGCAGGTGCACCTTTCGCAGTTGTTAATGGACGGAGAAGCTGCTGATAACGGCCATGAACCTGAAGTTAATTCAACCGATGATGACAAAAATTCCTCGGATGACGCCCGTGTCGGTCAACAAATCTCGGCGTTTAGAGAACAGTAGGAGACTAATTCACGCTTGTCATCTTAAAGCACTTAAACACTGTATATCAATAAAATCTTATTTAGTCACCTTTCCTACTAGCAGTTAAAAATTTCCTATATACAGGTCAACAACACAATGAGTTAATATCAGAGAGAGTATATAAAATAATTTAAAACACTTTGTGTCGTTTGGTCTGCATGAGTATTGTTGAGTTTATAAAACTCGTTTGAAAAATTTGCCAGGTGTCCTAAAAGATGATATCAAAGGGTGACGTGTCGCATTATGTTTATCACAATTTCCCTCGTATCTGCAGCACCAGCATGTAGCGCTAGGCTCCTGAAATCCTAGGAGCTTGCGATGGTCCTATGGTGGAACCTATGTAGGCAAAATAAGTAATGATATACTTGTTTACCGGTCTGTCGCATTTCTTTCGTTGTTTTTCACGTTAGCCGAAACAGAGAAATCCCTATCAACCTTCGCGAACTTTTTTCTCAGTTTCTGAGGTTTTTCTTAAAAGCTTTTGTTATTGGGAGTTCAGAGCGACGCCGTAGGTTTTCGGGGAGCAGTGGTGGGTCGGCTAGAAGATACCCGAGGTGACTTCATACTACGATGTGCAGTCGCAGCGCCTTCAGTGCCACTTGAGGAGGTTCTCCTCTGTAAGATTTTCCACAAATAACGCATATTCCATGCGTTGCGATCGAACAAACAGGGAGCGATTGCGAGAGACAAGCGATGAGGCGATTTGATTGCCCAAGTGGCCAAGACTGCCCTCCTGCCTTTTTCGGTGAGCCACATAGAGCAACTTCTGCCATTCGTGGAGAAGAGCAGCCCCAAGTATAGAAATCGAGTTACACTAGGAAGAGGTTCATTTGGGGAGAGACGAGGTATTAGTCGTCGCTCTCATGCCTCTATTTCTGAATTTAATGGCCTCGGTTTTTGGTCAGATTTACGGTTCGGTTCAAATCTGTAGCTGAAGCGTCGAGCCGAACTAGAGCTAACTGCATTTTGAACCTGCTCAATTCATATATCACTGCGTTGCCTGCATACACGATGACGGCTCTCTTATTCGATCAGGGAGGCCCTTTAGCATTTTATCAGAAACAATGATAACGGAAAATATTATTAAACCTAGTTGAATTTGACCAGACCGATGCGATTTCCAAAACAGATAACATCTAAAACCTTGAAGGAACGACAGTGCGTTCTTCGCACATATTTATTGACTTTATCCTAGAATTTTCATTTCGAGAAAGATGCGTAATGTAAGTATTATTACTGTTACGGTGTTTAGATAGTAGTTCTGTATCTGTTTGCAGAATTAACTCTTTACAAGTCGAATTAGAGAGAGAGCGATCGCTGCGAGAAGCTGCGGAACGCGATAGCTGTTCGCTGACAGCCGAACTAACAAAAGCGCAGGAGGCGGCTTCAGACATTGCAAAAATGACAAGCGACACTTCCAAAGAGAAAGAAGCAGAATTACAGAGACTGTTAATGGATCTAAAAAACAGTCAAGATCAGGTTGAAACTCTCACCAAAGAAGTCTCACAGGAACGAATTCACGTGCAAGTGTTAAAACAGCAAATAGTATGTGGTCTATTTTAATGCCACTAATTAATTTATGTCGTATACTGCATGCTAGCGAATGTCAGCAAAGAAAGCTATAACAAGTAAAAAGAATATTAACATAAGCTCGGGTATTTATCTAAGTTATCTCTAACTTAGATTTTAGGAAACCTTGTAAAGAACAGTTATGGGCAGCTACTTTGTCTTAGTGGACACAACTTTGCACGACAAATGGTATGTTTTAATCTTCCAGGAAGAGAAGTCAGACCTCCTTGAGAGATTTCGCGATACAGCGGATAACATGGTTGAGCGTATAAACAGGTAAGTGAAATGGTTTCCCATATCGCAGCTGCATAATATAACACAAAGTTCACACGAGAGAACCGAATACGACAGTGTTATATGCGCCGCACGTTTAAATATACCAATAGTAGGAACTACAGGAAGCATTTTCGTTTGCTGTACTTCACAAGTTTTCATGAGGACTAAACTAACTAGGCCCAGTTGTCTCGTGGGCTTCCTTTTATGTGACCTTATTATAGATACCTTAAGCTTTCAATGTACACAGAGCAGGGGCCGGTAGTCAGCCACAGGTTGAAATCCTCCCAGAATCTTTCACATGTTCAGCTTTTATAATATACAACCAGTAGTTTCATTACCTGATACTAATAGGTTGTTCATATTGTTTTCAGTGACACTTTCTCAAATCCAGACGATGGCTGCAGCGTTTTTCATTGTTTGTTAAGAAACCTTGAGGATTTGGTCAAGGATTTCTCAAAAGCACCGGATGTCGAAAATAAAATAGCCGACATGAAAGTATCGGAGAATTCCGAAAGGTGACTTCATAAAAGATAACGGATATCTTTCAAGTAATATTATCTAAATTTCCACTGTCGTCCTGAATATCGAACCCCCATTATTAAGTGAGCACACACAAGAGATGGCTTAGGAGTTAATAAAATTTTGAGTGATATTTTTTGTTTTTCAGATACATGCGAAACATATTGCAATGTCTCTTGAACACAGTTCGAACGCTGGAAACCCAAAATAACCCTTCAGAGTCAGTCAAAAAACAAGATAATATTCTTTTGATTCAAACATCTTCATTGCCTGATCAGAATGGGAATGGAGAGTTACCATGTGAGAGCACAATAATTAGCGTCAAAGATGCGGAAATTCAGGAGAGGGATGAGAAAATTGTGAAACTTAAAAGTCTACTTGTCAAAATGAAGAAAGAACATGCAGCGCTAAAGAAAGAACTTGTAGCGCTTAAGTCTTCGCAGCAACAGCCAGCACCAAATATTTTGGCCAATAACATTCAGGTAAATCAGTTTAATTTTTTTCTTAAGATCAAACTAGTATATAAACACTAGTATATAAACACTAGTATAGGCTGATGATAATTCTCATTCTATTATCTACTTTTCTATATGTTTTGAATTTAGTAAGAAAGTGATTAAAGACGCGAGTCGACACCTTTTAAATGTCATCTAGTATATTTTAATATAACTCTAGCTTAACGGGAATAGGATCATACCCAAATGTACTGCACCGTCCATGCATACGCTTTGTCTTTTTATGATCTGGACACCTTTGTGCTAGGTTAGTATGACTATAGCCTAGATATTATTTTATTAGGAAAACAAATTTATATTTGCAACGTATTTCAGAGCCTTCAAACAGAATATGATAAAGCAGTCGATGATCTGGAAGCTGAGAGAAAATTAAGCAGAGAGTTGCAAAAGAAAATTGCCCAAACAGTGGATCGAGTAGCTGAAATGGAACTTATAAGTTCACAGCTGGAAAATGACAAACGACAGCTCCTTGCTAAGGTACACACACACACAGCTCGTGATATCGCGTGATGATTTTACAGGAAAGACATACACTTCTATCAACCCTATTACATCTTATTGAACCAAAAAGTTACGTCGATGATGATAGTGTTATGAAGTAGCCATTTCGCCGAAAAGGTCGACTTAAGTAAGACTATTATGTAACAGGTCGAACAGGTTGAACACTCTGCAGAAGATGCTGCACACGCCAAAGCAGAAGCCGAAGCCCAAGTGTTGGTGGTGACGAATGAACTAGAAAAAGCTCGAACTGAAATGGATCGTTTGCGGCAGGAGCTTAGTCAACAAATACAGAATGTTACGGGTTTGCAGGTAAAACACAGCTCCGTCGGTCGCTTGTTATGTTTTCATTGTTTTTTTACAATCGTTTTAAGGAATCCACACACGTGAAAGTTAACGGGGCGCTAATACTGCAGTATCACCCATCTGGCTTTGGCTTGCATAGGTTGAGATGTCAGTTCTTCAGCAACAGGTTGAATTGGGACGATCCGCTATTGACGAAGCCCAGCAAGTGAGCGAACGGAGTAAACGGCTAGAACAAGAAGCGAGGGAGGCTCGAGATCAACTTGAGACGTTGGTAACAAGCAAAGCTCACCTCGAACTTCGTTTGGCCGACGCCGAACGCAGGGCGGCTGAGGTAGAGCAGTTGCGAAATTGCTATGATCAGCTCAGTGACGCAAAGTCGGAGTTAGCCATACGAGTAACAGATGCGATGCGGCGACTTGAGGAGTCGGAGAGTAAAGCCGCAGAGTTGGCCTCGCAACTCGCCGACGAAGAACAGGCGTTGAAGGTGTCGCAGCTACAGGTTGCAGAAAAAGTTCAAGAGGTCCAGGAACTGCAGAACTTACTGCAGAGTCAAAAAGACTCACAAACTAGATTAGTGCGTACTCTTGAAAGTAAAGCGGCGTCTTTGAAGAGAGATTATGCCACGGTGAAACTTGAGCTCGATGAGTCGAAAAAGGAGTTTGAAGCGTACAAAATCAAAGCTCACTCCATGATTAGAATCGTAAGTTTTTTCCGTCTAATTTTTTAAGGGACGTAATAATTTTCAACCATAAAATAAGCTGTTCCTGTTTGTCACTGAAAGAAGGCATACACAACTGATCACAAATTGCGATATCCACATTTATTCAATTCTATAGGTCTTTTTTATGTCAATTTGTTTATATTACTGTGGTCGTTTTTAAGCTGTTGAGTCATCTAATTGCTGAACATTTACTCTAATCATAACAAAACTTTACTGAATATGGCCGAAATGATAGCTTGAAACTAAATTTGGAACCACATCTAGGCTTGAACCCTCCAGTGTATTTTAAAACCAGTCACCTGCCCTAACTTTGATCACATAGACGCTAAATCAGACCTCTGTTATTGCAGAAAGAAAAACCGGAGAGGAAAAACGAATTGATTGATAACAGTATTATTACATCGTTAAAGGTAAGAAAACGCCCTAGGGGCCAAATCAGTTAACTCTAGTTTGCGTTTTTACAGTTCTCACGTAGAAATAGAGAAATCTGAACGGCATGACAAAGTCTACAATATTTATCGACGAACTAACATATGTTCGCAATATATTTTCGCCACTTACGTCTACAGCTGAAGATTGATGAGTTGACCCAAGAATTAAGCGTGTCAAAGACAGAGTTAGAGGCAACTCAGGAACAACTTTCTCGACTGCAAGATCGTTATGACAGTTTGCAGAAGGATATAGGCCAGCGTAATCAAGAATTTAAAATAAAACTGGCAATGGTTCTCGAAGAACGAGAGAAAAAAGTTCGTGAGGAGATGTTGAGACAGGAAACATCCAAATTAGAAGAAGCAGTCGCGCGCCATAAAGACGAGCTGATGCGCAAGGAGCAAGCTCAAAAGACCATGGTCCAAATTTTGGAAGATAAACTCGTTGAGGTTCGTTTGTACAGTTAGCCCTAATCTGTTAAAATACTTCCTTTAAACAAATGTGTTGTTTCTTACTTACTCCTAACATAACTTAGTCTAACTTTTTCAATCCAATTTTTCAATCAATGTCATTTTGTTGTGGTTTGAACTTGACCTTGAGCCTTTACGTGTCTATAATATTAATCGCTATTTGTTTCATATGTTTTCATCCTCTTCAATTGCTATAGCGATGTGAAATCAAAATATTAAAAGTCCTAACCTTTTTTTGGATCTATTAGCACGTATGTTGAAACAATGATAATAATACACTATTTTATAATGATATCCTTCGGACCAGATGCGAACCGAACTTGAAGCAATTAGAGAGTTGAATCGAACCCGGGAGATGGCAGATCGGTCACCTGATCTTCATAATGTCAGCGGCAACGGTAAGTTGATAAAACATTAAAAGTCCCCGGCACAGTTGTGCTTAATACTGTTAGAATCCTTATTCATATTATTCCGCAGTTCAATCATCATATTCCACAGTTGTAGCTTATGTATCATGGTAGACACGCGTCTTTACATTACCATTAACTAAGTATTAAAACTAGGCATATAAAATAGAATTAGGGCAGTCTCACAGAATTGGTTATTACGTCAGACTTGCTATACCAAAACGGCTTATTCTGCTGAAATTCAAATGTAATAGAGGCAAACACGGTCAATTTGTATTTAAGAAAGCAGAATGTGTTTAGTTGGTGAATTTAGTAATACTTCTTTGTGTTTGCAATGATACTGGTATAATTTTCGGACCCTTGTAATGTTTTGCTAAGGAGGGTAGAAGATGCAAACAGTCGGCTTTACCTTACCGTTATTCATTGTAAAAGGCGGTACAGTTTTAAGCTGGTGTTTTTTTAATACTTCATCTTCTTAGATGTATTCCTGGAGCCGGTACGCCAACCAGGTGAAGGTTCCGATTGCACGGATACAGCCATAACCGTTCGGCCTCTACCGTTCGACGTGATACCAACCTCCGGTTTCCAACCTCTTGATAAATTGCTCGAGCATCAAGAGGTTCCATCATTCGAGACGTTTGAATCAGTAACTTCACGGCTCGAAGAAGCGATGAAACGTATTGATCACTTCACCGAGCTGCTCAATGAGAGCGAAGTCAATAATCTTCGGCTTAGCGAGCAGGTCCGCGTACTGAAGGAAGAGGTTCGTCGGCTCGAGCGAAATAAGGAACGCGACGAGCAGTTCGGCAACCTTGAGTACCTCAAGAACGTCGTGCTCAAGTACCTGACAATGCGATCAGAGCGGGAACGCCTCGTTCCGGTGCTTGTCACTATGCTGAAACTTAGTCCTGATGAAAAACGAACGCTTCAACAAGGCGAGCAGGGATGGGGCCTACTGCCGAAATTCCTATAATATCAATGTTAACAAGTGAAAAGATTATATATA